GTTGAAAAACATGATTTTTATATGTCAATATATAGCATTGTCCTACAAAAATGATAATCTATGGATTTGCACATATGGGCGTGGTAGTAACCACCCTGCAAGGGGTAGATCCAGGAAGTCAATTCATCATTGCTTAACCCTCTTGTTTCTTAGATATATAATTCACTAAAGGTGTAGCCCTGACTCTGCATGTGTGCATGCAGGAGAGAGAGAGAGAGAGAGAGAGAACCTGTGAAATAGAGAACCCATTTATTGGTAATTCAAAATCATCGGAATGTTGAAGACAATATGATAATACAGCCGAATATATATGTAATTCCAATTTTCTTTCCGGAGGCGTTTTTGAGTAATGGTGAGAAAGATCCTACAAGAAAAACAAGAAAAATATACAGGTCATTAGCTACAAGACATCTATTAATGAAATAGTGAGACAGTCAACTGAAATGAAAATTAGTAAAGTAGAAAATATAGTTACTATATGTACCAAAATTTCTCTGAGATTAAAAATATCTGTGGAACCTCTTCTTTTGATTATAGACTTTACTAGCACACGACCAGCCAAAACTATCTCAGAAGGCAATACTGCTGGCCAGTGTACACCTTTACATTCATGTTTATGTTCAGGAATGTGCTCAGTATCTGTTTCAGAATCAACATTTAAAGTGGTCTCTGCAATGTACTTTTCAAGATCAGCTGATAAATTTTCATGAATCCTTTGATTGTTTGGGTAATCCCAGGACATTTTTCCTCCTGCTCGTATACAGCATTTCTCGGAGCAATACAATGGTATTGAACATGATGTACATGGGACTTTATCTGCTGGTAGCTCATTTAAGCAGTAGTGGCAATGAGTTTCCCGACAAGGCTTTAATATTATCTACAAAGCACAGGGACAATTTATTTTAGAATCCTCAGAAGAACTGCATATATTTCCAATGGCAATAAGAGCCTACTCTGTTGGTAAAAAAGATGCACAAATGATACTTGAACACAACTTGAGCTTCGAAGATAATAAGTTTAAATTAATAATTCCTCTTCAGCAACTTGTGAAGTATTAATCAACACTCACTGAAAGACAAAATGAAGATGGTACACCATTCTGCTTCGATTTTTTCTTATGCCTTTTGATGACGAGAATGTAAGAAAGGAAATTAAACTGTAGGATACATATCTACTTTTAGTTTCACAATAAATTTTCCAGGGGTACATGTTCTGATTAGACTGTAAAAAGAACATCCCTTCAAAAGATCTCAACCATCTGTATTGCACAGATATGCTAATTGAAAGGAAAAAAAAGGAGACAAGGCAGTGGATCACACAACAATTTAGTTTCCCAAACCACGACTATAGAGTATCAGGAATGTCTGCATAGAAGGGGAACATCTCTCTATCCAATTCGGTAGCAAAGTAATGGCGACTAACAAAACTGAAAAGAAGTACACGATAGCACATATAAAAGAAGTCTACGTTCATACCATCGAAAATGGGTCTTCGGTATGTACCAAGGACGCTTGAGGAAGGTCACCTGTTGAGGCCATACCCTTTCCTTTCTCTGGTGTGGCGACACATCGTAATCCCGTTGGGTGCGGTTCATCTGATGGATTACAAGGTACTTTAATTGGGTTGCGAATACTTAACTTCCCTAACATGACTAGCTTTATTTAGAAAGAAAAGAGAGGCAGGAAGTTTACCCAGAAAAACAAGCTGTAAAGTCAGGAATATCTTAGCATAATTAAAAAAAAGTAAAGATTGCATTAAAAGGCTCAACAACATAAGTACACTCAAAATGAGACCCTGTCACTGCTACATCCTAAGGAAAGTATGAACATCAATCCATCAGCTTAACTCAATATAACGTTAAAAAAACATTAAAATGATGAAACCAACAGAATATTCTAAGTGAGAATACCATTTCAAGCTGTTACGTGTCAACATGGCGCCATTTTTGTAGCTTTTGCATGTCTCCAAATTGCTATTTTTTTCATCTGTAGTTTTAATCACAGGTTATAAAAACTTAGGGGGCCCAATGTCTACAATATCTTAAGAAACCATAAGGTGATTACTCATCCAGAGTGAGCACAGATTTTCATTCCTGAGATCAGAATATTTGATTATAGTTGCACAATGTGATACTAAATGGTAATATCCTACCCAAAATATCTGAGGTATTCTCATACTGTTGTATTGATGGATTTGATGTACTCTTCTGTTGATCCAAAATTATCTTCATCTCACTTTCTATCTGTCTCTTTCCACCCATTGTCAACTCCAGAGTCTTAGCAACATCCAAGTCACGGATAGTATCCTTATAATTTCCCATAGAAGCATTTGCCTTACCTCTTCTGTACCATGCCTACATTGGAAAAAGGAAGAAAAGTAAATTTGAAGAAAACTGTAACTCTCTTAGTCTCCTTTATCCTCCAGTAAAAAAAAGGCATCTCTAACTCATTAAAATACAACTTAACGCTAGGCAATAAAGCATCTCACCTTCGCATAGTTTGAAGAAATCTGAAGTGCCCGATTGCAGTCTCGTAAACACTCCCTTAGAAGACCCATTTTCTAAGGATTACATATAACAGATACAGTAACAGTGAACAGTGAAATCTGTTGATAAAGAATTGAACTTGTTACGTTTGGTACATACCCACATAAATCAAGAATGGGACTTACATGCAATACAGAAGCCCGATTCACATACAAAGTAGCAACCAAGTTTCTGTCTTCATGTGCATCCATGGGAGCAACTATCAATGCCTGTGCCTCATGCCAATGATAATAAACAAACATGTAAACAAATAAGGGTTAGCTCTAGCAATGGCTTTAAAATAGAGAAGTAATTTCAAAGATGGAGGTACCTGAGTATAGAAATCCAAAGCATTAGCATAATCACCACTCAAGAAGCACTTATTCCCCTTTTGCTTCGACTCCAAAGCAGCTTCTTTGTTCTTCCCACACAGAGCCACTTCAGGGTCCGCCAAGTCCCTCACCATCTAATCAAATACGACAAATTTTAATCATTCATTCATTTCATTTCTTCTGTTATTGTTCGTTTCTCGAAGCTCATAAATTAGAATGTACAAAAATAATGACATACTTGGTGAAAGGGCTCGAAATGAAGAAGAAAATCGCCGAGAGAAGAACATGTGCGAGGAAGATCGTCAGCAGAGCTCTCTCCGATCATTCGCTTTAGGGTTTCTGGAACCAGAGATTTCAGCTTCTCCATGAGCGCGCTTTTGAGCTACGCCTTGGGCTTGGAACTTCGTACAACGGCTATATGCTTTGCTACCCGCTCTGCTACTCTGTTTTATGCGCGGTGGTGAGAGTTCGTTTCTTTTTCCTTTTTCTTTCTTTTTTGGGTAAGGAAGGCTGTGAGTTCAAAAATTTTAAATTCTATCCCAAATGTTTTATCTTTTTTAAGAATTTTCTATACCAAAATTATTAAAAATAAATGTATCAAAGGCAAAATTGATTTATAAAACTTGTCCGAGGTTCAATAGAATTTACCCATGTTCAAAATTCATTTCCCACCAGTGAGTTTTTGACAAGTTATTTCTTCTTGTGTGAAATGTTAGGAAGATGTTTGCTTTTTGGAACTTCTTCTGTTGGATGATGTTATACGAATCTACCAATACTACAAATATATC